AATCCGATGATTGCAAGGTCCGATGATTACCTCTTTTCAACCCTGCTATCTGAAGATTATGCCTTATTATCTTCTCTCGGCCAAGGTTCTGGATATGAATACTTAGACACCATTCCCTCTAAAAATCTTGACCTCGAGCTGTCAAACCAAGAATTCAGCTTTGCAGTAGCCATTCGCTTAAATCTGACAGCCTCCATCTCATATAAGTGCACCAAGTGCAAGAATCCAGTAAGTCAAACTGGTTGTCAAAGCCTCCAATGCATCTTTAGCAGTGGACGTTCAATTTGACATAACAGATGCAGTGCTCTCATAAAACAGGCTTTACAGTCCACAGGTTTTCCTGCCACTTTAGAACCCCCAGGTCTTTTTATGAATGGGAGACGACCCGATGGCTTTTTTTAATTTTATAGTAACGACTGAGATTTCCCTTTTTTACAGATGAATTGTACTCCTAAATTAAAATTTTGAATCTCTTGAATTCATTATATTGAGATAGTCCACACATGTATTTGGAAACATTCTTATTTGCATTATTCTTAATCCTATCATATCAGACAGAAAGATAATATAAATAATATACAAAGATTAAAAAAAATTAAATGTGCTAGAACTGGAACATTATTCATTTTATAATAAATTCTTATCATATCTGACAAATAATATTATATATTTTAAAAATTAATAAAGGGAATGTAATGTATATAATAGAATGGAATGTTCTATTCTAATTATTATTATAACTTTTGAAGAACATTAATTTAATTATAAATTATTTTCTAATAAATGTAGTTCAATATCTTTATTACTTCATATGATACAAATATAATAATGTATTTGAGAAGAAATAAGAATATCATTTTTATTGGATCTTCATATATATTTAAATGATCATATAGATTAAAATTTAAACAAATAATTATAAAATATTCAAATATAAATTTCTTTCAGTTAACTTATAGAGAAAGTGACTAATTTGATTTTGGTTTGAAGATATTGAAATCTAAAAAATAAATTAACTTGCATATTTAATATATTAAAATACTTTTCCATGTATATCATCTGATTTTCCTGAATTTATTTTTGTTACTTTGTAAACAACATTACAAATTTTATTCATAAATGCTTCAATTTTATATTCTTCTGTAATTAGACTGGATGGATGTGGTATAAAAAGTCCCAAAATAATATTTAAGTTTTTAGATGATTTATATTTTATAAATATATAGTATACTAGATTTAATATCTTGCTTAATGATTGATTCACTAACAATAACTGTGATAAATTATCAATTAAAAATGCACTTTTTTCATGCATATCAATTAAATCAATAAGTGATTTTATCAACTCCACTTGGCATTGCTCATTATTACTTAAGAAATAAGAAATACTATAACATTTTAATCTTTTCCTATCAATCTCCTGATAAAGGTTCTTACCATATCGAATCAAAAGTTTATAATAGTGTGCTATTGATTCATCAAAAGTGATTAATATAACATTGTCACAGAAATTTAAATATTTAACTAAATAGTGGCTTATAATAAATATTCCTTCGTTTTCTTCTCTGATTAAGGCAATGCAGTTATTATTTTTATCAATATAATCGGATGAATATTTGTCAACATCTGTAAGCATATAAGATATTTTTAAATTTGCGAGTAATGATATATAGCGTTGGTCGTCATGTAACAATTAAACAACAGCCAAATTTGCTAAACAACAGCTAAATTTTATAAACCAACAGCTAAATTTGCTGAACAATGACAAAATTTATTCTCCCCTATATTTTTTTATTATTAGACCTCACCCCCTCCCAATAAAAATTTTTTAATACTTTTTCCAAAGTTGAAAATTTCCCTTTTTCTTTAATCGAGCAAATAAATGTTAATTTTAGACGACTAAACTATGCATCGAGCAAATAAATGTTAATATAAAATTACTAAACTGAGTATCGAGCAAAATGTTAATTTTAGACGACTAAATTACGCATTGAGCAAATTAATGTTAATTTTAAATTACTAAACTGTGCATCGAATAAATTAATGTTAATTTTCGATGACTAAACTACGCATTCAGCAAATCAATGTTAATTTTAGATGAACGATGCATCAAGCAAATCAGTGGCCCCTATAACGGGGGTGGGAGGGGAGATTCCGAAGCAACTTAAAAAATTTTTTTTTAAATTTATTTAATGTTTTACTTGGTATATGATATCGGACGACCTCGTGATTCTGTTAATCCTTTAGGTTCCCTGATAAAATTAATATGATGCAACACGATATTTAGTAATTTTTTTATTGATTCATGTATAGTATAATATAAAACCCACAAAAAAAATTATTTTAATTTAAAATGGCGGCTCTCTCTGGTGGTTTCAAATTCATATCATAGAAACCTTGTGAAAACTTTCGAAACAGTTTCTATTTTTATTTAGACATAGTGGTACGTTGCATTAGCATATTTACCTTTCTTTTTTAAATCGGATAATATAGTATAACTCGTAAAATATTATGATTTTGAAGTCCTTCGCAAAACTTTGTTACAATATTATAACCTAGATTACTTAAAACCTCTTCATATTTCCCAGCATAGATATTAAAATCATTCATATATCCTGAATTATCACACCTCATCCATACCTAAAAATATAGTTTAGTCGAAAAAAAATATTGTTGTAAAGTGGCAATGATTAGGTTAATATACCACATTAAAAAGATCAAAGTAATATATAAATATTATTTATTTGAGGAAAAATAAATATTAGAAAGATAGATAATATAGTGAGGAATATATATATTCAAATAATATTTGATGAATATACTGACTTATAATTAAATTTACATTTTAAGAAAAATGCCCGTTGAAAACGTATTTTGAAATAAATGCGCAAAAAAAAAATTAAAATATAACTCCTCCACAAACATATGAAAAAGAATATCTTTTAATATATATTCGTGATGGTTTCATTTTATATGATTAACTCCTTTAGAAGATATAAAGGTCGAAAGATGGTTTTATATTTGCAATACCGCCACCGAAAGGGTTAATACATATTAAATTAAATAAGTGGGGGGGGGGGGGTAATTATTATGCAGTTTAATGAAAGATTTAATGATGAATCGATGTAATTTTTAAATCAAACATTATTTTTTACACCAAAGGGAATGGCGGAAAAGTCAATCGTTAAAGATGATATCGAATCGAGGATATCTGTATTTTACCATTTAAATTAAATTCAATTTTTGAAGAAATGTTGAAGTTTCGATATATTTATATAGGAAGCCTAAGACGGGAAATGTAATTATTACACGTGCCCTAGCGGTTAAAGAATCTAAAGATTTGTCAGATTATGAGAACTAGTAGATAGCCCGTCAAAAATGACGGAGAATGAGAATTTTATTCGTTTTTTTAAGAAAGATGTTACCTTTTATTTAAAAATCATATCCAATTTATATAATCTGAGGAGAAGAACGCGAAATGATATTTCTGCCAAAGTGTCAATTTTGGTATACCCCTCTAAAATAGAATCATGAACGACATTGTCAACTCAACCATAAAACGGTCGTAAGTATTGTTATAAAGGCCATGACAAAACTATCGCATATTTTCCCATTAATAATGTTAATGAAATTGGCTGCACTACACATTCACGTTTGAACATCTCTCTAAATATTCATGAAAGTTCCTCAGGGAATCGGATAAAGTATTATTTATAATAACTCCTAATGAGGTGAATGATAGTGGAATTAAATGCTTATATTTGTTAAAAATTAGGTAGAGGTGGCATAGGGATTGTGTTAGTGGATAGAAATATCATTTGGAGGCAACTGGGTGTATAAAATAAACAGATAGATATAAAACATTAGATAAAAAACAAAATAAACCTCCAGAGGAGTTCACAGTGCCTTTATCTTGGCCACCAGTAACTCTAGAACGGGTAAGGCGTTTGTTGAATCGCCATTTTTTCCTTTGCTTATCTTTAATAATAGATTCATCATGTTTGGTAATGTGAGGGATTAGGGTTAGCCTAGACAAATAAAGAAATCAGGCAAAAATATAAATATACTATTGTTGAAATTAAACAAACATTAAAATAATGTAAAACCGGTAGAAGGGTCAATATTAGATGCATATTTCTAATAAGTTGGAGGGCTATCATCAAATAAAATTTTTGGGGGACTTATCAAGTCTATTATGATATTATAAAAGTTAAAAAATAACATGATAAATGTAATGTTATTAAGATAAAGGTTAATTAATTGTAAGGTAATTAAAAAATTAGATTAAAAATCGGGGGAAAAAGAAGGTATAAATTATTATATTATATTATATAAATTAAAGGTGATAAGGTTTTGAGATATAGTGGTTAATAGATAATAGAGATAGAAAGAAAAGAATGAGATAATAAAATTTAGTGATAAATAAAAATGTTTATTTTTGTTAAAAAATAGGTGGAGGTGGCATAGGGATTGTCATAGTGGTGATAGAAAAATCATTTGGAGAACTGGGTGAAAATAAAATAAACATAGATATAAAACATAAGATAATAAAAAACCTCCAGATGAGTTCATTTCAAGCGTAGTTCTTTATTATTTTGTCTACCAGTAACTCTAGAACGGGTAAGGCGTTTGTTTATTCGTCATTATTTTCTTTGCTTATCTTTAATAATAGAATCATCATGTTTTGTAGCAATGTGAGGGAATAAGGTTGGGTTAGCCTAGACAAATAAAAAAATCAGGCAAAAATATAAATAAACATTATTATTGAAATAAAATGAAGATTTTTTGGAATAGATATAAAATAATATATAATATTATTTATAATAAAAATAATGTACTATGTATATTTTTTGTGCGTTATACAAAATAATCAGCAGGGATAATAGAGCAATGGTGGATCCGACAAAATGGTAAGCTTTTAAAAAAGTAGGAACCTTAAAAATTGTTATATTCATTTAGTTAAATTTTAAAAATGTACTTTGATATAATTTTCAATTAGACAAAATATTCATCAGAGATAAAAGGGCATATTGAGCGGCCTGACAAATATCTAAAATAAAAACAAAGAATAATATAAAGAATATAAATGCAATGAACATGATCTAAAATAAAAACAAAAGAATAAATAAAAAATAGAGTCAATATTAGGTTAACCTCTCTAGAAATAATGGGAATACAATCATTAACTGAGGTTAGGACATGGCTTGTTATCTAAAATAGAAACAAAAGAATAAATAAATAAACTAAATGCATTGAACTTGATGAGGAGTCAATATACCACCTGTACAATCATTAAATATGGGTAAGACAGGGCTTGCTATCTAAAATAAAAACAAAGAATAATATAAAGAATATAAATGCAATGAACATGATCTAAAATAAAAACAAAAGAATAAATAAAAAATAGAGTCAATATTAGGTTAACCTTTCTAGAAATAGTGGGAATACAATCATTAACTGAGGTTAGGACATGGCTTGTTATCTAAAATAGAAATAAAAGAATAAATAAAATAAATAAATGCATTGAACTTGATGAGAAGTCAATATACCACTTGTACAATCATTAAATATGGGTAAGACATGGCTTGTTATCTAAAATAGAAACAAAAGAATAAATATAAAAAATAAATGCATTGAACTTGATGAGGAATCAATATACCACCTGTACAATCATTAAATATGGGTAAGACAGGGCTTGTTATCTAAAATAAAAACAAAGAATAATATAAAGAATATAAACGCAATGAATATGATATAAAAAAAAAAAAAAGAATAAATAAAAAATAGAATCAATATTAGGTTAACCTCTCTAGAAATAGTGGGAATACAATCATTAACTGAGGTTAGGACAGGGCTTGTTATCTAAAATAGAAACAAAAGAATAAATAAATAAACTAAATGCATTGAACTTGATGAGGAGTCAATATACCACCTGTACAATCATTAAATATGGGTAAGACAGGGCTTGTTATCTAAAATAAAAACAAAGAATAATATAAAGAATATAAATGCAATGAACATGATCTAAAATAAAAACAAAAGAATAAATAAAAAATAGAGTCAATATTAGGTTAACCTCTCTAGAAATAGTGGGAATTCAATCATTAACTGAGGTTAGGACATGGCTTGTTATCTAAAATAGAAATAAAAGAATAAATAAAATAAATAAATGCATTGAACTTGATGAGGAGTCAATATACCACTTGTACAATCATTAAATATGGGTAAGACATGGCTTGTTATCTAAAATAGAAACAAAAGAATAAATATAAAAAATAAATGCACTGAACTTGATGAGGAATCAATATACCACCTGTACAATCATTAAATATGGGTAAGACAGGACTTGTTATCTAAAATAAAAACAAAGAATAATATAAAGAATAGAAATGCAATGAACATGATATAAAATAAAAACAAAAGAATAAATAAAAAATAGAGTCAATATTAGGTTAACCTCTCTAGAAATAGTGGGAATACAATCATTAACTGAGGTTAGGACATGGCTTGTTATCTAAAATAGAAACAAAAGATTAAATAAATAAACTAAATGCATTGAACTTGATGAGGAATCAATATACCACCTGTACAATCATTAAATATGGGTAAGACAGGGCTTGTTATCTAAAATAAAAACAAAGAATAATATAAAGGGTATAAATGCAATGAACATGATCTAAAATAAAAACAAAAGAATAAATATAAGTCAATATTAGGTTAACCTCTCTAGAAATAGTGGGAATATCATCCATCATAAGCTTATGATCATAAAAAATGAACAAATAAATTACTTCTTCTGATTTCAGGAATTCAAATAAAATGATAATCTCTAAAAATTGGTATCTGGCACTCCGATTTCAGTCAAGGAAAATGATAGTCTCATAAAAAATCAACAAATAAATTACTTCTTCTGATTTCAGAATTTGGTATGAACATCTGTTTAAAAAAATATAACAAATAAAAAATAAATAAATAAATACGTACCGATGACATGACGTAACGATGACATGACGTAGCGATGACATGACGTAGCGATGACATGACGTAGCGATGACATGACGTCACGATGACGTAGTGAGGACATCGGAAAATTATAATATAGATTGTAAATTTATTTAATTAAAATATTTTAACTAATACATTAATTAGCTTTTTCTTCTGACGATGAGAATAATTCTGAGACTTATGATTCAGACTGGAAAAACTATTATTTAATTTACCTTAACGTCTACTTTAAAATCTGCTTTCCCTAAGTTAACAATTTTATATAAATATTTATTAACCATTCCTACCTCTGTACTGCCAAAAGGATCATGAATAAAATTACAATTATTAAAACAAGACTTTGTAGTACCATGAAAGATCCATTTCATAATAATTTAAACATTTTACCAATGGAAAAAAATTTATTTAAACAATTAAATATTGATGAAATTATCAATTCTTTCGCTTTCTCTTTCTTTGTCTAAATTATTAATTTAAAAATAATATTTTTAAAGTATATAATTTTTTTATATTTATATATTTATATTATATATTTTAAAGATAAATAATATATGTTTTATAAAAAATGACCAGCCTTTTTAGAATTTTTTATAATATATTATATTCACAACTATGGAAAAAATAAAATTATTATATAAATCTATAATTTTTTTTTTAATATAATATCCTTTTATTACTTCTATCAAATAAAATAATATTAAAATTAACATATCAAATATAAAATAAAATAAAACAATATTTTATAAAAACGGAGGTGGGACTACAAGTTCCCAAAAAACATGAATAGTTATATTTTAAAATAGTTATTTGTAGATTTTGTTTTAAAAAATAGTATTCTTTTGGTTCTGATGTAAAGGCGCAATAAAAATTATTTTTGAAATTTATGGGTGTCAAAAAATAATTATCCATTTTTTTGAAGGTGGTTGGGGGGGGGGGGGATTTTCAGGGACGGTATTCTGCTTCCATCACTCAGAAAGTGTAGAGGCCACTGAAGCAAATTAATGTTATTCTAAGATGACTAAACGAAGCATCAAGCAATTTAATGTTAATTTTAGATTACTAAACTGTGCTTGAGCAAATAAATGCTAATTTTAGATGACTATACTACGCATCGAGCAAATTAATGTTAAATATAAATAACAAACTATTATTTTCTTCTTTAATACTTATTTTTGTAAAAAAATATACAACGGTGTCGCTATCCCTGCTTAATTCGATATGAACGTATGATAATAATTGGTAGCTCCTAAAAACGATTTTTGGTGTTCTCATGCTCATAATTCTTTTAATAATCTATGTAATGGGCGCGATTTAATTACCCTTAATTACATGGCTAAATATGTTACTTCTTTTACTCCAAATATGCTCTTTTCTTGTTTTAAGACTAGTTTCCAAGATTCTATCTAGAATAAAATTAGTCTCCTATCTTGTTATTAATTATCTGATATAGATATATCATTTAAATAATATATTGTTCCACTTAATCCCTGAAAAATAGCTGATATCGTTTTTTGAAATTAGTCTCCTAAATGCAAACAATCCATTGTGTTTTAAAAGTTAAATTTAACTTGCCATTCACCTTAATCTGCAGATATGTATTAGAAAAATCATCTTTGAAAATATTAAGTCTCCTTTTAGCCAACAATTGTTTTATTCTTGGTAAAGGATTCTTAACAATTATTATCCATTGATTTAGTGATACCCTCTTATATACTTAATCTCATTTTGCTATTGGATTTGGTCATGTAAAATAATGGGGTCGCTCACTCTATATACACGATTGGCCTTATCATAAGGTAAATTGAATTTTCGTTTAAGATTAAGAATTTGATTATTCAACACTCTCCTCATTTAGTATCTCTTTTTTGACAACTTTCCCTCCATAAAATTTATATCTCTTAATATCTTCTTCTCTTCTATATCTTATTTAATCTCTGGTTATAGATTTCGCAGTTTATCGAGAACTATCTCTTGTTTAACGTCTAAACTAGGTGATTTAGTCTTGTCGCTAACGTTCTGCATTATTTTTAGATCCCTATTATTGATTTCCTAGACAGTTTCAAACAAATTCTACCAATTTTAAGAAGGATCTAGTGTGCAAAATCGCTTCTAAGCCAGCTCAGCTTGCGCGCGAGCCATAAATGTCGACTCAGTCTTAAAGCGCGAGCCGAATAGGTTCAGCCTTAAAAAATCGAATCGGTTAGCCATAGAGTTGGAGCTAAAAAATTAGCCTAATTTTGGCTAAACCTTGCAGCGCCAGCCGAAAAAAATGGCTTATTCTAGGAGTGTAGATATTTTGCTCCTAATGCTTATGATGATATATTATTTAAAAATTTGCTTCTATCTAGATAATGAATGTAAATAATTTCTATTTTTACACAAGCCGCTCAAAATTGAAACCTATAATAATACTCTTAAAGACAACTTGTATTGTTTTATATTTGACCATTTTTTTAAGAAAAATAAAATATCGATAGGAAAATTTTATTGGTTTTGAGAATATTAATCTTAAACTCTAAAATATTTTAGGGTTTACCTTTGGTCAAATGGTTATCATCCAAGGATACTTTAAACAACCTATTCTCACTAAAATATATCTAATTTTATTATTTTCATTAAAAATAATATTATGTTGTCTCCTTTCACATTTAATCATACCAATATGATGTTCAAAATGTCGGATTTTACTTTTATCTAAAATATGCAAACCTATATATAATATTTCTAAATATTAATAGAGAACGTAAACACAATTAATCACGATACTCTTCTTACCAATTTACATTTTTCAAGCCTTTTTTTAACACAATTCTAACAAAAAATTTTTTATATTCGCAATCGAAAATATTTAATATTGCAATAAATGGAAAAATTATTTGGATTAAAAATATTTTATTTAGAAATTCTTTGTATTTTTTACTTTTACTATTTGCATGCATAATAAATGACAAAAGATAAAATTCAGAATAATTGTTCAGAGTTTGCAAATTTCACTTAAAAAAGTATATTATATTAATATAAAACGCCGGACTAAAGCGGGCCGAAAGCCCGCAAAATAGTGGGTATGGAGGCAAAGCCCCTTTAAAAATATTTTTAGTTGAGCCCTCTATATTGTAAAGGCTAGTGACGGCCTTAATTGTAAACATTGGAAAAGTCAATTTTAATTAAGGACTAATTAGTAGATTGATTTTCTAAGTGAATTTAAGTAAGTTATACAACGGCTTCACAACCACCAGAAATATTAACCCCTAGTTTGAAAGGGTTGAGAAAACGAGATACTTCACGTTTTATCGTTGAAGATATGATTTTAGC